GTTTTTAGTAAAGAAGGGGTTTTACCATGTTGGCCAGGATGGTTTTGAACTCCTGGCCTCAAGTGATCCATCCGCCTCAGGCTCCCAAAGTGCTGGGATTACAGGCGTGAGCCACCACGCCCAGCCATATTTTTGACTTTTTTGGTACAGAAAATTTCAAACATACACAGGAGTACAAGAGAATATAATAGCAGACCCTATGTGCCTCTCTCTCAGCTTCAACAATGATTAACTTATGGCCAATCTTGTTTCATCTAGATCTCAGCCTCTTCTCTCTACCAGGGATTATTTTGAAACAAATCCCTGACATCCTATTATTTTATTAGTAAATATTTGGATACACGTCTTTAAAAGATAAGGACTCTTTTTTCTTTTAGTACTGTAATACCATTATTACACTAAAAAAATCTCTAACATAATCAAATATGGGCTATTTAGTCAGTGTTCACATTTGTTTGGGTTTTTCTCATTAGTTTGTAACAGTATCCTCTTAAGGTCCACACATTGCAGTTGGTTGACATGCCTCTTCAGTCCCTTTTAATCTGTAGATTTACCCTTCACTGTCTTTTCCTTGTGATCTGTTTTTTTGTTTTGTTTTGTTTTTTGTCAAACGGGATCATTTATTCTGTAAATTTTCCCACTGGCTGGATTTTGCTGATTCCATCCCATGAAGTTAAATGTTAAATGTTCCTCTGTTTAACATATTCCTCTAGCCTCTGTATTTCTTGTGAACTGGTAGTTACATTTAGAGGCTAGATTGAATTCTGTTTCAATTTTTTGTCAAAAGTACCACATGAGTAGTGTTAAGTATTCCCATGAGAAGACTCTTACCTTTACGGTGTGTGTGTGAAAGAGAGATGTTGATAGCCAGTGCTGATTGGTGCTGCCTAAATCCGTCAATTCATTAGGGGTTTTAAAATGTTATTTCATGTCCATCATTTCTCCATTTATTAGCTAGACTACTTTTATAAAGAATAATCTAGCCAATCCAATAATCTGTTTGGCTATCCTGAGGTACAGTTGTATAGAAAAGGCAAGAAAAATGCTCGATTCTTTCCATTTATCTACCAGTTTTCAAAATATTTGGCTCCCTAGCATCCAAAGATAACCAATTTGGGGAGCAGGGGAAAGAGAGAAAGAGAAATTGGTGGCTTATTAAGAATTCATTAATTTTAAAATATTTGATGTTTCAAACCATTACATTTATTCTTTTGTTGTTGTTGTTGTTGTTGTTGTTGTTAAGAGGTGGGGTCTTGTTCTGTCATACAGGCTGGAGTGCCGTGGAACTATCGCAGCTCACTGCAGCCTCATACTACTGGGTTCAAGCAATCCTCCCACCTCAGCCTCCCGAAGTGCTGGGATTACAGGCATAAGCCACCTTCCAGGCCATTTCATTTATTCTTATTGAAACTAAAATTGTCTCATCTTTGGCCAATGGGAATCCCTTTGTGTGGTCTCCTGAATCCTTTTCATTTATATCCTTAATAGTCTTTGACAGCTTCCCTGCTTTTTGTATGTTAGGCCAGTGGTTCTCAAAGTATAGTCTGGGGATGCCTAGGGGTTCCCAAGACCCTATTAGTGAGTCTGTGAGGTCAAAACAATTTTCATAATAATAAGACATAATTTACCTGTTTTATTCTTATTCTCTTACATGTATAAAGTGAAGTTTTCTAGAAACCATATATTGGCTATTGGAATGTATGCTGGGTTTTTTGTTTGTTTGTTTGTTTGTTTGTTTTTTGAGAAAGAGCCTTGCTTTGTTGCCCAGGCTGAAGTGTAGTGGTGCAATCTCAGCTCATTGCAGCCTCCACCTCCTGGGTTCAAGCGATTGTGATTCCCCTGCCTCAGACTCCCAAATAGCTGGGACTACTGGCACTAGGAGAGTTGGGGCTTTATCATATTGGCCAGGCTGGTCTCAAACTCCTGGCCTCAAGTGATCCGCCCGCCTCGGCCTTCCAAAGTGCTAGGATTACAGATGTGAGCCACCGTGCCCGGCTGTGTGCATGCATGTTCTCATGTTTCGTAGAATTTTTTAAGGTAAGCTCTTTGAAGTCTTGAATAATTTCTAAGAGTGTAAAGGCATCCTAAGACCAACAAACTTGAGAACTACTATTCTAGGCTCATCTTTTATGTTTCGTGCTATATACATATAATCACTTGTGGCCTTCTAAATTAGTTCCATTTTTTTTAAACTCAATTTTTGTGTATGCCTGAGTGATCAGATTCAAGTCTCACAGCTAATAAGTGGCAAAACTAGAATTTGACTCTAGTCAAATCTGAGACTGCAGTGAGCTGCTCTTTTTCCATTGTGCTGCAGCCTGGGTGACAGAACGAGATCCTGTCTCACAAAACAAAACAAAAAACAACTAGTACTCTGAATATGTTGTTTTTCTGGTCACAGTAGGAAATTCAAAATGTAGTAATAGTTTCTTAGAGTATTGACTTTTGAAGATCTCAGTCATCCGGAGAAGAGCCTGCCTTGCCTGTGGAATTCGTTAATGGCTCATATATTTCCACTAATTTCTGAATCCAGGATCCAATCTATCGCTCACCTGTGTAGCTTAGACATACTTTTTTTTCATCCTGTAGTTGGCTGAACCAAATCCTGCAAGAAAACATTCTGCAATTTTAAAAACTGAATAATGGTGCCTTAAGCCTGGGACTCTCATTTATTTTTATCACTGAACGGTATATAAATCTCTAAAACATGGCTACTTAAAATATAACTGGATTTTGTAGTCTCTGGGGCTCAGGGAAAGCATAATTTTGTCTCATTCTCTTGGACTGAACCCAGTAACGTGCCATTTTGTCACAATTCTCAATAACCTTAGCTTCTCTTGGCTAATGAACAACATTAGCTCTTATTTCCCAGGTATAGAAGAGTTTCTATCGTAAGAAAAGGAAGTGTGTTTCCTGAACAGTTATCAGTGGCTTTCTGAAGTTAGTGCATATACAGGAGAGGAGCAGTCTTACGTAGTATCCTTGAGTATTTTTCCAACATAGGAAATACCTGACGGTACCTGACAGCCTCAGGTGCCATCTGGAAAAGTGTCATCTTGTAGGAAGCTTGGATCAGAGCCTGTGTCACTATTCAGTTGCGTCATAATTACTTTGTGGTTCTGGTGGGGAGTGAAGCAAAGACTATGTCAAAGGTTGCAGGGTTCTTAATGGAATATAAATTTCTTTGTTGGAAAGTAGATCTTGAATACTAAACTACTTTTTGTAGTTACAGACAAATTCAGTTTGAACTGTAGCCTTGCTTGTTATTTTTCTCAACATTAAATCTACCATTGTGGAAAGGTCTCAATATCTGATTTAATATCTCAATATCTCAATATCTGATTTGTTGCATTTAGATTTCTATATTTGGACTGTCATTTTCATGGGCTTTTCTAGCAAGTCATCTCATTGACTTTGTTGAAGGTAGTTTTAGAATAAAGTCAGAATGTAAAGTAGAAAGGTGGTTCTTTCATAGGATGGGCTTTGAAACCCCACACCACCACCATTGGTCTTGTCAAAATTTTATTTTCTTTCATGTTTATCACTTTTACCAAATCCTTCCCCCTAAAAGAAAGGAAAAAAAAAAATCATCAAACAGACCCGTCTCCACATGCAAAGCATGTAGTACATGATGATTAATGATAGGAGCCTGGAACTTAAGGCTGGGGAATGCCAGGAATTTGGGGTTCTAGTGTCACTAAGGCTCTGCCTTTCTGTGCTTTAGTTTCCTGTTTAGAAAGTTCTGCTCCTTCATAAGGACCTTGAAGTACTAGGAGGAAAGGTGCTTTGTGTGTGGAGTTTTCCGTAAAGTGCAGTCCCAACTAAAAGGCTGCGTTAAAGGTAGGTAAATACCTTATAAAAACATATTTTAAATACAAAATATTTGTTAGTTTATGCCACTTATTTATTTATTTAAGTATAAAATAGCCTCAGGCAATTAGAATTCAGGTTTAAAATTCAGGTTTTGTTTATTGAATTCTCTTCCTAAGAGCAAAGAATATAAAGGCTTGGGAAGTAGAAATTGGAACACATTTTAATTGCCTGAATATGTTTACCGGAGAAGAAGTTTTATTAAAGTGGAAACATGTTCTTCCTCTGAGTCTGATTACAGGCTACTTTGGGCTAGTCCATAAATCTGTTTTCAAATCTAAAGTGAGCGTCACCATCGTAAAGTGTGCCATAACTTAACAGCTCTTCCTGAGGACTGCCTTGGCTAAAGATTCTATGGTGAGAACTCAGAATTCCAGGAATGCGTGTTGAGCTGGAATCTCTCATATCAGTGATTCCCAAAGAGGAATGAGGGTGTGTCCGAATCTCCAAGTGTGCTTTTGAAGCTCTGAAAACCTCTCTTCCTTTGCCCAGGATCTCAGTGAGCCACTGTTAGTAGCAGTTGTGTTTGGTATCTTTAGGTGTTTTAGTGAAAAAACAACTGAAGTTAGTCTGATGAGGAGATTGGGGGTAGCCTGTTAGCTTTTCTCCCTGGAGAGTGCCACTCACTCTAGAAAAAGTAAATAATGGCTTCGAACGATTTGTAGTTCATACAGTGGCAGTCACATTGCTGAAAATTTGGTAGCATATAATGTTTGTGGTATTTGGCTTGGTTCTAAATGCAGTTTGTGTGTGTGTGATGTTGTTTTGCATGAAGAGGCTACATGTAGGTGCTTTGATGCCCAGGAACAGAAACCAGCGGGACTAGAAAACCTGAATCTCTTAGTGTCAGCAGGGTCAGCACCAAGTTGGAGTAAGTTCTCAAAGACTAGGTGACATTGTGGCGATGGCGTGCTCCTCAGTTTGTCGGGCTGGGCTTGTTGGGTTTCTGGTTCACTGAGGGAGGAGATTTTCTGTGCATTTGATTACGCTACATGATACTGTGCAACCTAACATTTTGGGCTTTGGGTCTGGGAAGGAAATGTATTTTGATTATTTATTGTATAGTTTTGTATAATTTGTATAATTTACGCCTCATTTTGAGATGCAAGTAGGAAAATGGAAAAACAAGGAACCCAAGTAATCAGCAAATGAGCTTAAGAGAAAAGTCCCTGGGAAATTAAATAATATTTGAAGCTTCAAAGCTGTATGTTTAAGTTTTAGAACATCAGATATTAGGACCCAGTGATAAGAATTCTCCATGTATTGAACTGTTTTGAAATTTCATTTTTTAATTGCTTTAAGACATCCTTAACTTGATGTCTTATAATGCAGTTTGATAGTTGTGTGAGACCATTCTGAAGTGAAAACCAAACAAATTAACTAGAAATGATCTTAGCTATCATCCCATCCATCCTTTTTATTTTGCTAATGAATCCAGTAACTTGTGATCAGAGTCGTATCTTGCTCTCAGAATTCTCCATGTCTCTCGTGGGGTTAGCACATAATATACACTGGCTGACTGGTAGGCTGGCTGAGATAGTATTTGCTAAAAAACCCTAAACCTTTTGACCACAGTATTTGTGAAGAAAGTCTTGGTGGAAGCTTTGAGAAGAATGGTGGAAGATGTTAGAATGACTCTTCGTTTTGGGATTTAAAAGCTTAGCCATTCTTCTATGAGTTGCTAGACGCTGCTGCTTGCTATTCTAAAAGCTTCTGATGTGTAGAATATTCTAAAGGTATAAAACCTTTTGATGTGTAAAATGTCTTTTTTGTTACACATTCTCAAGCTGGTAGTCTCTATTACCATTACTTTGAGAGCATTATGTAATTGCTCTTTGAGAGTCAACAGAAAAATGAATAAATAGGAATTATTGTTGCCAATAGACACTGTTCTCCATACACCAAAAATTAAATAAAACATGAATTTTAAAGCTCCATCAAGCAATAGCTTGTCAAATTAATTATAACATTCAGTGAGTCTTTAACAACCTAAAGTAATTTATCAGGTACATTTGTCTTACCAGACTACATTTGGAAAGATGAACTCTTTTTTTTTTTTTTTTTTTTAAGACAAGGTCTCTGTGTGTCTCCCAGGCTGGAGTGCAGTGGTATGATCATGACTCACTACAGCCTCAACCTCCTGGGCTCAAGCAGTCCTCCCACTTCAGCTGGGACCACAGGCATATATACCACACCTGGCTAATTTTTTGTAGAGTTGGAGTCCCACTCTGATGCCCAGGCTGGTCTTGAACTCTTGGGCTTAAGCGATCCTCCCACCTTCATCTCCCAACGTGCTGAGATTACAGGTGTGAGCCACCATACCTGGCCAAAAAGATACACTTTTAAAACTTAAAAAAAATTTTTTTAAATGAATTGTGTCTACTTCCCATGTATAGAGCTGAGTCTGGCAGCTAACATTTTGTTCATGTGGGAATCAGGCAAATTTGTTTCTGAATTAAAGGAATTTCCTATCTTCGTTTCTGGCTTCATGCCATGGGTGCCAGTGCCAGCTGAGAGAGCCATCTGCAGGACTCTGTAGTAGAGTGGGAGCCAGGTGAAAGTGAGCCAGGCCTGCAGATGTGGTTCTTGTTAGGTGAAGACTTAGCAGAAGTGTGTCCAGTCCTGGAGATTGTCCATGCTCAGTTTATTTGGAGACTTTAAGATGGTAGAACAATGACAGGTTTCTAGAAACCCTGTGTTTAGTACAAAAAGTGGCTTGTCTGTGAGAAGTCCTTTTGAGATGTTCAAAAAAATGTGAATATATTGGAACACTGCAGAAATAATTTCTTCTGTGGTTCCAAAATCTTTAGATTTGGAAGGAAGAATTCAAATAATTGTATTGATTTCATCCATTCCTTCCGCAAATGTTTATTGAGCATTTCTAATATGCCCTGCACTGATTTGGATACCAGACAACATGGACATAATTCCCTGGCCTCACAGAGCTTCCAGTGGAGGAGACAGACACATACAGAAGTTAAATATGTCAGACAGTGATATGAGCTATGGGGAAAACTAAAACTGGGAAGGAGATGGGAATTGTGCCAAGGAGTAAGAGAATCATGTCGAGACCTGGGGTCTTGTACTACCTATGGTGACTGACTGTACCCACAGGCATGAAATAGAACAGTCATTTACATATTGTGGTTGGTTGTGCTGTCATAGTTACTACTACCATTATCACAGTCACCGTCAGAAAGCATTTACCCCACACCTCTTAACAAGGTTTTATACAGAATGAGTCATATAGCTAAGTGTTTGTCCTCAAGACTGACAGCCCTTACGTGTACACATGCAGATAACTTACTAATGATGAATAGAAATTCCAACAATTGTATTCATTCAACAAATGTTTATTGAATGGTGGTGTATACAAGGCATTGTGGAGATACATAAATCACATATGTATCTTGCCAAAGGGTCATATAGTTCAGTAGCGTCATAGAGCAGGTCATTTGCATGTCAGTGATTTAACATTTGAGATAGACCATGAAAGTCTATGTCATATGCTGATTTTGCATTTTTGCCGAGTCATAATTTTGAGTCAACTGCTTTGGGAGGCTGGTATGGGGTAACTAATGTAGGAGTGTGTGTTTAGACATTTCCTTGTGTCTACATTTCAGTGAGGAATTGTTTCTACCTATTGCTGAATATGGTAAATGCCTTTGAAGTTAAAATATGCCTTTTTTTGGTGAAAAATTGCTCTGAGAAGAAAGCCAGCTTCTAGAGTTGGTGATGGAATTGCTGAATCTAAGATGTGATGTTTCTTAGTCAGTACATGGAACCATTGAGGGCCTCAAGGAAATACTTAGCATTTTGCTGCCCTTGTCAGGGAAATTTTATGCTGTACTAGTGTGTGCCAGCTTGGACATGAACCCCTCGTGAATATATGTTTTGGATAGATCTTGATAAAGGCCCTAATGGGAATGTGGACACAGCAGAATTTGTCTCCCTTGCTTGAAGCAGAGCTGTGTCTTCTGGGCCCCAATATCAGATTCTTCCCTTTCCTTGACAAATAAAGCATCAACCATATTTATGTTAGGGTTCCTCATGTTTATTATCTATATGGGACCAAAAGTTTGCTACCATAGAAACATAGTTTTTTTAATGTATGTATGTATACATATATATACGCACACATATACATATGCAGCCTTAGAAACAAGGCAAGAGAAAGCTTGGAAGAGGGAGGAAAAGCCGTAAAATACCATGGTGGAGGCTATGGCTTCTCAGCATAATCCATGTTTTCCTCTTCCTGAGCCCACAGCAAGAATGCATTTCCCAGCCTCCTTTGCAGTTAGGTACAGCCACGTGCCTGAGTTCCAGCCGATGGGATGACCACAGTGAAGACAGCTGAGCCCAACAGCTTGAATCCCTAGTTCAATGTGAGGAAGAGGAACACCTCATTCACCAGTTCTCTGTCATGGGAGCAAGAACAAAGGTCGGAGGTGTTTGAGCCATTCTAAATAAGTCAGGGGTCTATTTTGACAGTGATGAGTTTGGATCATAATCCTGAGTGTCATAATCCTGAATGTTGAAATTCTGAACATCGAAATCCCAAAAGATCAAAATCCCTAAAGTCCAAAGTCCCTCTTGTCTAAAATTCTGAAAATCACAATCACAGGATGTTTATGTTAGGCCAGCTCTTTTGGGCTATCTCTATACAATTGTCCAAAATCTTTCCCTGTAATATACATTTTTATATGCTGAATTTTCTTTTTAGTTATTTAGCTTTTTTCTTTTCTCTTTTTTTAGTTTTTTTCCTACTATTTTAAATTTGTATAATTATTTTTTATAGTTCACTATGCTATGTATTTCATTTTTGCATCACTTCCAATACTGGAATTATAAATTGTGTAGAGACTTTAGAGAGTTCTAATTCCTTTTATGCAATTTTTTGCAAATTTGACTCCACAAAAGTGTATTATCACCATGTTGAGTTTGTGTGTAAGCATTCTGTGTGCACTTGA